TTACTGTGACCAGCCTTCACTCTGAGAGCTTAAGGCACTTATTTTTATGCAGAATAGAACCTTAGACACCAAGAAAACCCACCCAAGCTTTATGCAGACATGGAGCAGACACTGCATCCTCATCAGCAACACGGTGGTCAAACAGATCAGGTGCCAGGCTCACTCCCTGTTGGTGACAGGAGGTAGGCAGGGCATGAGGTGCTTCATTCACATGGTGCCCAGCCCCTGGATGGGGACAGCTGTGACAGCCAAGTGCTGCCGTTTGTGCAAGGGCTGAATGCCAGCACATGAGGAGCAGCCTGCAGACTCAGCAGAGTCACTCCAGGGACAGACTCTACAGGAGCTTCCACAGCCATCCACATCGCTCTTTTGAGCTGCAGCTGCACGGCGTGCGTGCAGCCAGCCCCATTACTCATGCAGACCAAGGAGTTGCTTCAGAAACACCAGCAGCTGCTCGGACAAAACGCTTCTCAAACAGCCCCATGCAACCGCAGCACAGCACAATCAAAAGAGCAGCAGCAGCCCCTCTCCTCCCAACACCCATCCCAGGGCAGCAACAGGCCCCTGCCCTGCCCCTCATGATCCAGGCTTTATGCTCTAGACTTGCCCACTGCTGAGAGCCAGGAGGGGCGTGCAGAGGCAGAGGATATGCCAGACCCTGCTGAGAATCTGCATTTATCCGTGTTGCAGAGGGTCTTTTATTCCCTGGAGGCAGAAGCACGTCGAGGCGAGGTGAAACACCGAGTGCAGCGGGGCCCAGCAGATCCGCACAGCAGTGACAGATGGCCTATATCGCTGTGTTTTTTGAGCTGCTCCCTCCAGCTGTACGCAAACCAACACCAGCCCCTTCCAGCTCTGCCCAGAGCAAGGGCTAGCCATCAGGGTGGGCTAAGGGCCCATCTCAGCTCTCTGGCTGTGGAAGTCAATGGGTGATCCTGACCGAAGGACTGCGTGCTGGCTCCCCTTCGTGCACTAATGGGAAAAGCTGAGCTCAAAAGGCACATGGGGCTCTGAAAGAGGATGCTGAGAGCAATGTGCAGGAGAAGCACAGACAGCAGGCCAGCCTGGCCTTTACAGCAGCCAGCTGGGAAGGCAGCCACCCTGTCAAGGCTGCCTGAGGCTGGGGACCTCACTTCCATGCACAGATGGGAGAGAAAGAGAGAAGAGGCTTCTTTTATTTCTAGGAAACTCCACAGATCTGCATGGGGCCACAGCTAGGAGGAATGAGGGCTGCAAACCACACAGGGAGGCAGCCCCGCCACCTCTCATCTTCATATGGTATCTGTCTGTTCTTGGCGAGGACTCCAAGGGCTGCACAGAAATGACTCTAAATCTCAGTGGCATTTCTTCCATCCCCAGTGCCTGTCACAGGCCAGGGAATAGCTCAGCTTTGTTCCCTGCACAATAGGAGCAGCCCTCCACACCCTGCAGCTTGCTTGGTAACATTCTGAGTGGCCACCAAGGTTTTCTCCAGTCACATCATCCACTTCAACTGCCCCTTTCAGCACACAAAATGGCAACCCTCTTCAGGGACCAAGTGTGCCCCAGCACCCAGGAGGGAACACCCTCATGCAGACAGAGGTATCGTCATCATCTGTGTCCCAGTAAGGTTACAAACCACGCTCAGCCAAGCCAGGATACTGCCCCCCAGCCCAGGGGCTTTTGGGGAGCAGGCAGCCTTACAGCTTCTCTGGAAAGCTGCAAGAGCTGCTCATATATAACAGGCAGCACCTGTGTGCAGGGAAGCTGAATCTTCCCAACCACGTCTGGAACCAGGCAGGAAGGAGCCCGTACCCTCGACTTTTGATCTTTACAGAGAAGTCGTTACTGAAACTCTCAATTACAGGATTAAAGACAAATGGGCTTCCTGCATACACAGGGCTGACATACACAGCAGCTGCGTGAGGAGTCAGCAACAGGTTGGTCCTGCCAGGCTGCCTGGGGGATGCAGGGGCTCTCTGTGACCTGCTGTGTCAAGAGAAAGAGCCAGGGACTTCACTGGAGCACAGTGCAACCCTCAAGCCCATCACTGTGTTGGGCCCTGCTCATTTCACCATGGGCAAGGCTTGCAATGCATCAAGGACAGAAGCTCCTGGAGTTTTTGGCACCGCTGAAGTGCTATCTGCAAATACAGGCCAAGAGAAGCTGCTCAGGGCACATTGCCAGCACCACATAGAAAGCCTTCCAGGGGTCCTGGATCCTCACCTGAGCCACCACTCAGATGGGTTTGGGTTGGGGAGGTGTACTATCACAAACCCACCAGATTCCTCTCATACTTAAGGCCCTGTGATCTCTAACACAGCTTCTGGGCAGCCAAGACAAGAGACAATCATCATGCACCTGCAGATGTATGCCAGAAGGAACAATTTCATGGGGGCCTGCCTTTGTCCAAACCTTCTCTTTCATCTCTTCCTGCAAGGAGACGATAACAGTAACTGTATTTTTCTTGTCACATAGGAAACTGGATGTCTGAATAGGCAGAGGTAGGTGGAGTAGGCATATCACAAACTCTCCAGCTTTCTGCAGAAGTAAAATGCACCTAGGTGGGTGACTAACTCTGCTACTAGAAGGTTTCCTTCTGAATCTGAAGTGACCGCATAGGGGAGCTGAGATAGGGGTGATGAAAAGCCAAGACTGATCCTGAGGGGAGCAGCAATACAGCTGTGGGTACGATGGCTGAAGGACAGCAACAAGATAGACCAAGTCCCCCCATTCTTCTGCAGTGATGTCCCAAGACTGCAAGCCTCCTACTCCCCTGCTTTCTACAACACAGAGAGGGAAGCAGCACAACAGCTAGGAACATTGCCAATGACAGCAAAAAAGAAACCTATAAACAAGCCCTGATCCAGCTTGTATGCAGCTCCTGTATGCAAGCTGTGCTCCACTCTGCTTTATTAGTGACACACAACTAATTGCAGGTCTTTGTGGCAAGAAACAACTCCACTGCTCCCTATTTAACAAGATCTCCTCTCATCACCATGTTCACTACGTGCCCTTAACTTCAGCCGTGAGTTTAGAGAGGGAGATGAGGTTGGCTTGCAGCAAAGGAGACAGAACTGGTGCAGCCAGAAAAGGTCAAGGCATCACAGGTATCGCTGTGAACTGAGCCAAGCACTTCCCAACAGCTCTACACGGTGCCACGTAGGCACTGACTCCTGCAGCCCAAGGTCTTGGCACTGAACTCTGCAGAGCTGAGACGCCAGTTGCAGCACAAGAGTAAAGAGTGACAAGGCACTTAGCAGAATACAAGTCAAAAGTAAATGCTACTCTTGCACAAAAATGCCTGCTCCCAGGTGTGCTCCTCATTACAGATGCTCATTTGGGCCTATTTCCTCTGAAGTGGCTTTAGGCCACTTTAAGAACAGACTCCTGCTCACAACACTGATGTGTCCCTTGTCACAGGCTGCTGCACGCACACTATTAGCAGGGACCTGTGGCTGGAGACTGCCTTGTATGCTGACAGTTCAGAAAGACCACAATTAAAAAGCCATTTTACATCAAAATATACTGAAAGCAAAATCATACAGGCTAAAACCTTACTGTCACAAGAGCCGTCAGGTGGCAAACAGTGACAAGCCTGTTTCCCTGCTAACTCACAGGGACCAAGCAGCCGTAAGTAGAAAGTGGTGGGCTCACCA